TTGAATCTGGGGAAGACGTGCTCTATTTAATACCATAGTCACTGACTGGAGCACCCAAGTGCCGATCACTGTGGAAGGCACTGTCTTATACAGAGATAATTACATGGGCCCTGCCCTCAAGAAGCTTACCATCGAACATGTCAGCTCTCAGTCTTTTGAGAAAAGTAGGAAATAGAAAAATTTGGAACTTTTTTCTTTAAATACTCAAGAACCTGATGTCTTCAAATTGTCCTACAAACAACAGCTCTCTGTGAGGTCTGGCTCGGAAGCTACTCCCAGAGTGCAGCTGGTGGTCCAGGGAAGTGGTCTGAGGCAGGGAAGCTCAGTGGTGGAGAGCACAGGCTGGTCGCCTTGTTTGAAGCTAGAGTGACAGCCGTGTAACCTTAGGTGAGGTGCTCAACCTTTCTCTGCCTCAATGCTTTAATCTGTAATGTGGGAGATGAATGGTCCCAGCATCTGAGAACTGAACAAGACAACACATGAAGGTGCATAGCAAAGAAACCTTAGCTGCTGCTGTTCTTCTGAGACCTAAAGAGTGATTAGGCATTAAACACAGGGACTAGCATATCTGAAAGTCCTGGACAGAAAAGATGTTGGGACGCACTGCCCAGTGACTGTTCCCTCTACCTGTCGGATGAGGCCCTGAATTGTTTTCTCCAAGCAAGTCAGACCCCTGCTTGTTTAGTCTCTCCATCCAAAACTGGGTCACTTTACTCAGAGTCACCGTTATCTCGAATGCCTCCTAGGGGCCATGTGAGGTTGACAGCTATTTGGCCCTGAAGTCAGAATTGAAAATGCAAATCTGGTTATGTGATTTGCCTACTTAAAATTGTCAATAGCTCTTAATAGCCTTCACATGAAAGTGTGACCACTGTGAAAGCATGCCACTAATACTGGTTAGAGTGTGGCAGGACAGTCTGACTTCTGTCCTGCTCCTGGGAAGACAGATACTGACCCAGCCTTTCTGGACAGCAATCTCAATATGTATTAAGAACTTTTAAAATATGCATACTCTTTTTCTTTCTTTCTTTCTTTTTTTTTGGCTGCTCACTGGTACAGGGATCCCAGCCCTTGACCTTAGTGTTATAACACCACACTCAAACCAACTGAGCTATAATATACATACCCTGTGACCTAAGGAAATATTTAGAAAATCAAAATTCCATACACAAAGATCATCATAGTATTATTTATAATAGCAAAACTGGAAAAAATCCAGTGATGTAATCGTATTTTTTTTTTTAATTTTTAAAAGATGACCGGTAAGGGGATCTCAACCCTTGACTTGGTGTTGTCAGCACCATGCTCAGCCAGTGAGCAAACCGGCCATCCCTATATGGGATCCGAACCCGGGGCCTTGGTGTTATCAGCACCGCACTCTCCCAAGTGAGCCACAGGCCGGCCCCTTGTAATCGTATTTTGTTACAGGGAAAAATGTTCACAATATATTAAAATTTTACAAGCAGGTTAGGAACAGTACAATACCATTTTTGTTAAATGAATATACATACACAGATATACATATACATACACAAATATAAAACACACACAAGTATATAAATACATATACATTGAAGGATCTATATTCAAAAGGTAAGAATTAACTAGCAAGGTTATCTTTTAAAATGAACATATAATTTTAAAGGATTTTTTTGTTGTTGTTTGTGAATAGTTTTGATGTGAGAAATACTTTTGATATAATGGGAAATGAAAAAAAATGTGTATAGCCATTCTTCAATTATGCAAAGAAATGATTCATTAAAAAAGAGCTAGCCCTTGACACACTGCTGGTAGAGATGTAAATGGCACAGCCTCTGTGGAGGACAACCTGGCAGTGTCTGGTATAATTACATATGCTTTGACCCAGCATTTCCACTTCCACTAATTTACACTGTAGATTTATTCCACATGCCAAAAGAAGTATGTAAAGGATAGACACTGAAACACTGTTTATAATAGTAAAATACTGAGCCAGTCCAAATGTCCATCAGTTAAGGATTGGTTAAATAAATTGTGGGTTTACCAGTAAAATAGAACACCATAAAACTATTTTAAAAGGCAATAAATTGATATGGAAAGATCTCCAAGAAAAAAGCAAAATGCAGAACCGAGTTAGAGAATGCAACATTTGTGAGGAAAAAAAATTATGTCTACACATACAGGTTACTGAACCAAGAGGGGGTTCGGTGTCCGCCATGCCAAATGACTAAAAAGTCTCTCATGCCAAAGTTTGCAGTGACAGAGAACAGCATTTAGTTTTGAATGGCCAGTCAAGGAGATTGAGCCAGCTAAAGGAGTTTGAAGACCTCCAACTCTAGATAACTTAAAATCACAAGCATTTATAAAGCAGAATCATGAGTGGGCATCCTAGGAGTCATGTGGGAGTCTGACTGGTTTGGGGTAAAGTCGGCACAACTACCCCTGGCATTGTGACTCATGTCCTCCTCGACCCCTTCAGGTCTGGAGGATACTGCTTCAAAGGAGGCTTCCTGTTGATAGCAGTTCCTGCAAAACACCTTAGATGGTTGTTCTGATACTTTCTTAAGCCATTTACTGAGGAACAAACATCTGGTGGCCCTGAGACCTCGTTTAGCTTTAGGGAGACACATGTTTAACTAACTTTATTCTTACCTTATTCTTAGCCTAGCTTTATGGTTATTCCCAGGAATTCAGCCCATCAGAAAAAAATTAAGCAGATTTTTTCCGTTCAGCTACTCCCTGCCCCCAGCCTGAGTTGCTCCGGCTGGGGTGTAGAGATAGCTTAGGAAAATATCAAGGGTCTTCAGCATTTCACATATGTGTGTAAACATATAGGATGTCTCTGGTAATAGAGATTGTCTCTGAGGAAGAGAATGGGGTGAGAGGAAGGGAATGGATACCTTTTGTACCTTTTGAATTTTGGATCATGTATATATTACCTATTCAAAAATGTTTTTAAATCTTTGAGGTTAGAGAAATGTAAAGAATTATCAATAGTTGCTTCTGGGTACCGAGATTTGAGACTTTATTTCCTGCCTCTTTACTTTTGTTTTACTGTACATTCCAACTTTTTAAAAAACAAATTAAGTAAAAATCTAGAAGGAAATTTTAAATAAACTAATGTTTTTATATACTGGAAAAAAATAATTTAAAAGTCTTAAATAGAATTTGTATACTCAGAGATTTTCAGGGAAGAATTAATAAAGGAATTACTTCCCTTAGATGTTACTCTGCATTATCAACTTTGGATGTAAACATGCTGAAGTTGGGATTGATTAAAATGTTAAGTTTAATGAGGTCACATCCTGATTGGACTATATCCAAGAAACACCTTTCAGGACAAGCCAAAGGTCCAAGTACAAAGCTAGCTACAAATGGGCAAGAAATCAGGTGACCAGTATCAGCTGGTGACAGTCTGTTCTTAGAGGCAGAGCTGAAGAAATGGGACCTGCCAAGCAGTTGGATTTACTGCGGGTTCAGCCTGTACCCCAGGTGTCTGAGTGGGCCTGACTTGGGATGGAGTTGGGCAGGGACAGAACAAACAGTGGACGCTTAGTACTTCTGATACTGCACTTGGAGTTTCTCTCTGTCGACGTTAGCACAGAAAACAGATCAAGATGACTTCTACTCATGTATTGTTTACGTATTAAATTACATTCTTGAAATGCAATTTAGCACAGCCACTAAGAACTTTTAAAATATACCTATATTTTAATCATGTTTTTATACCTGTAAGAATCTGCCCAATCAGTTGGGTTACTGTAAATGAAAGTAAATTCGTTATCTAAAGACAAATTAAGAGGCTATACATACACAGAAGCCCAGGAAAGTGTAAAGATCCCAGCCTTGGGAAGTGCACAGCCCGGGGTCAGCAGGGGTTTGTTTCTCAGCGTGCTACCTCCACGTACAGGACTTGGGAGCTCCTGCTAATTTCCTTTCTATATCCCAGTCATCTTCGGGCAAGACCGCCTCTTAGCTTGACTCTCAGCATTTCCTTGTTTGAACACTTGAGAAGGGAATCTGATTGGCCCAATCATCCTTCCAAACTATGCAAGTGGGAGGTCTTCGGCAAGGATTGGCTGCCCTTGTGTCAGATGTCCTCCCGTGCTCCAATCAGCTGACGCTGAGAGGCGACGGCCCGCCCACAGCCTCTCGGTGGGAGACAAGCGGCGGGGGCAGTTTCCCTTCCTGTGATCTCTAGAAAAGGAGTCTAAGAAGAAGGTTCAGAAATGGGGACCAAGAGGGGCGTTAAAGTGCTCTTTTAGCGCACACACGCCATGTCCATCAACAGAGCAGCACGATAATTATGGGCTGCCTAGGTGTGCGGCAATGACTTTGAAGAATATTGAAGAACACGGGGAATTGCTCACAAAATAATATTACATGAAAAAAAAAAACAGGCTATAAAACCTCAAATATAGCATGATAAGAATTTTCTAAGAAAAAAATTGCAGATTTATTTTTTAATCTGCAAGGGAAAGTTAAAGGGTTAGAGGTTGAAAAGTTCTTTGTGCGTGCAGCTTTCCAAAGCCCCTTAGAGGACCGACGCCACCTTTACAGTCGGGGAAATAGTATTAGAACCCACGCGCGACCGTCCGACCGGGCCCAGGGGCGCCGAGCCTCCGCGCCGTCTCCCGCCCCGCCCCGCCCTTCCCCTCTGCCCCGCCTCCCCGTGTGTCGGGAAAGGGTGCTTTCTGGGCCGTCCCACGGTTTTACAGCTCTCCGCTTTTCTAGCCAAACGGTGCTCGCGCATGTGAGGGAGGGCCGGCCCCACGCCGCCCCGCCTGCCCGCCGCTTCCGGTC